TACCATGGAAGTGCGAGGTACGCGAGCATGGATGAAGAAGGGCCAGAGCGGGCGGCTGACAGGAATTCTAGAACGAGAGGCATTCATACGAAAAGTGCCAGTACGACGAATTCAAGGAGCGGGTCAAGAAGATGGACGAGCTGAGGGCAGCCAAGAACGGACAGCGAAGCAACTAGAGTCAGAATGCGGGTATGATCCAGGACGGTCACAGGCGGAGCATGCTGCATGTATATATCAAAGCAGCAAGAATCACGAAGACATCAAATCCATGTTTCGGGGCCAATTGGTGTTCTGGACGAAAGGCGTTGGTGCAAGAAACTACAGCTCTGATTTGGATCCCGTATTCGATCAGACGATGGCTTATTTGGTACACTGAATTGCTGTCTTACGAAGAGTCTAACTCTATAAACGCCTCTGTCAAATCTACAACCTCGCCTTGGTATCTTCCAGCGCAGCCTTCTCCCTCAACTCCTTCCTCAAAATCTTGCCAGAAGGATTCTTCGGAATCGCATCAATGAAATGCACACCACCTTCTAAGCGCTTATGTCTAGAGACACGCTCAGCCAGCCACTTCTTGATATTCTCAGCCGTCTCAGGCGTCGCCTTGTCGGGCGACTGAGGCATAATGTACGCGCGAGGCAATTCATCGCCATTGCTGATAAAGGTTAGCTGTTGATACAGACTGTAGAGAATGCGGGTAAACTTACGCTTTAACGCCAATAACAGCAGCGTCCTGCACGTCTGGGTGGTCCAGCAGCAGCGCTTCCAACTCCGCCGGTGCAACCTGTAGACCCTTGACCTTAATCAATTCCTTCTTCCTATCAACTATGAAGAAGTGGTTCTGTTCATCCACGTAGGCCACGTCTCCCGTCTTCAACCACCCATCTTCTGTGAGGGTCTCCTTGGTCGCGTCGGGCTTGTTCCAGTACCCCTTCATGATATTGGGTCCGCGAACCCAGATCTCGCCTCTCTCGCCTTGCGGCGCTTCGACCTTGCCGTCGTCATCTACGACAATCTTCGCTTCGCAGTTTGCCAAAACTTCGCCGACAGAGAAGCTGGACGAGTAGGCAGATGGTGGAAATGTAGTTGCGGCGCAAGTTACTTCCGTCATGCCGTAACCTTGCTTGACATTGACTTGGCCGTTCGGCCATAGTCGTTCAAATTCCTCAATGACTTCCCGACCGAGTGGGGCAGCACCGGAAGACACGCCCGTTACAGAGCTCAAATCGAATTTCTTCGTTGCCGGATGCTTTGCCATGGCCACGATGACCGGGGGTACCAGAACCATGTCCGTAATGCGGTACTTTGATACGTTCTGTAGCATCTCGACAAAGTCGAACTTGGGCATCATGTAAACCGGTACGCGTTGTTTTACCGCACCGAAACAGAAGATCGCTTGCGCCATAGCGTGATACATGGGCAGGAAGCAAAGGTACTTCTTCGTCTTCAGCTTCTCATGGTAGTCGGGACTGGTGGTCTGGATGTGGATCTGTTGGCTGCAGTTTGCGACGTAGTTCCTGTGTGTGATCATGACGCCCTTTGCGACACCAGTCGTACCCGAGGAATAGTTGAGAGCAACTATGCGATCGAGCTCTTCTGGGGTCTTCAAGTCGGGCCATGAGTATGCGTCGCCGCGTTCTGGCGTATCGAGGAGTTCAGTCCAGTGGCGGACATTTCCGAGTTCCGTCTTCTTCTCCACTCTACGGCCCTCGAACGTGGCAACACCATCGTCGAAGACAAAGATGCGCTCAGGACCCATGCCAATCTCTTTCGCAGCTGCGATTCCTGTGTCCAAACTGCCCTCTGCGCATACCATGAAGCGCGCTCCGCTATCTTTCAATTGGTACGCTAACTCTCTGGCAATATAAGTGGGATTTGCGCCAGTAAAGACCCCCTCTGCCATGACGATACCCATCACTACTGCTGGAAAGAAGAGCGTATTTCTCGAGTAGAGCAACACGCGATCTCCTGGTTGGAGGCCTGCGCGCTGCAGACCTGAAGCGAAGCGTTTCGCATAGAGACGAAGATCGTGTAACGAGATGTTGTACTTTTCAGGTTCGCTTGCCGAAAGATAAAACGGTTCCTTTGGTAGCTCTACGGTAGGCGAATCAAATATGTACGTTGGTAGTGAGACCTGGGGTATGGGGAACGAATAGCGGGATTTGATCACCATGGTGGCGGTTCAATGTGCTGGCCGAGCAAACGTCGCAAAGATGTCGAGGAGGAGAATCAACTTGTAATGACGGGGTCCACTCTTATCACTCTTGGTTCTTGGCCCACTATTGGTATCCACGATGCGCTCCGTGCCGTAGCCCTTGTTGATGGCTTGCAAAGTCAGACGCCCGGCGATATAGGCGTCAGCGAAATCCTACTCGGCATTCATCAGCGCCCACTCAATCAAGTACACGTATACACAGGAATAGTAACTTACGTTCTACCGATTCCTTCTTCTGCTTAGTGATCCAAATGTCTGAAATATAACAACGACACTTTTCGAGATGGGAAGTCGCGATACATGCATGGTGTAACCCAGCGCACCCATCCACCGGTTCTACTCTGCCCCGAGGCATCTCTGCTGACGCCGCTGCATAAACGGGGCAACTAGTCTAAGACAGCACATCGGGTAGCTCGATTGCGTTAGAAGTGGACTCGGACGGGGGACGGAAGTGAAAGTGCTGAGGTGCGATAAGCGGGGGACTGCTAGTTGTGCCGAGGTAGAAGTCTGGGGTAAGGACGGGGGTTAGCGAGCGGACGTCTGGGCATGCGAGTTGGGATGGTTATTCGTCCGTTATTCTAATCATTGCTTATTCAAAAATCTCCTATTTTTATCCATGTCTTTTATGCTTGGGTACCAAAATCTGGTGCGAAAGTCATGTTCAGAGTCACATCTCAAATTAAAATTTAGTGCGCCATGTCAATAGACCATGTCAATAGACCATCTCAAGTCATATCGATCCACATCGCAATCTTCTTCTCAACTCCAGCAAAACCCATGACCAGGTAGAAATCGTGTTTTTAGACAGACATCCCATGTGAGGGTAGTCATTTTTGGTCTGACCATGTCTGAGTGATGAGGAAAGAAGAAGTTGGGGGGATTGGAGAGGTACTTATACATCTGAGATGGCGCTAGAGGGGGAATACATGGGACGAAGTATTCATCAGCGTGACGTCCAACGTGCGCTGTCGGCGTGAACGTCGTTTGTCAATGACGCCATCACCTTTCTTAAAACACCATGTCGTCCCGACGAGGCAACGCGAAGGTCAGGCGCCACGAACCTCAAACGATCGAAGCCAACAGATCAATTGACACCCCTTCACTCGAACACACCAAAAGCGTTTGTAACCTGCAAACCAACCCATCACCCGTCATTCTGACGTCCAAACGCACTCGAATCACATCAACTCTGTGCTTTCCAACGCCAAAATACCGCCATACTACCCACCATATCATATCCATCAACATCCCTCACAATACCAATCACAACCCCAGAAAGCAGTTTGATCCGTCGCGCCCGGTGCCCATATATCTCCACCGAGGCCACATTAAGTACCTCAAGGACGATGACTCGATCTCGCCGAAGTCTCTCGCGGGTTTGGAGGAAACGCTGCTGAGCGCTTTGGTTTTGTTGGCCGACATTACTTAATACGTGGGCTGCGAACATGTCGTCTGATGATGTATGTGAAAATGTAGGTGAACTTGCAGCTGACGGTGCTGACTGCGTCTCTCTTTGCCAGTCTTCGACCATCAATGTCGTGTCCGGGCTTGGTAGTGGGAGACTCTGGGTTGACCACCGCCGTGGTGTAACCCTCGGAGGGCTTGGAGACTGTTCGGTCGGACGATAATCTCGAGATGTAGGAGTCCACGGCGCTGCAAGAGCTCCGCCGAAAATCTCGTTCATGGACCCTCTTAAGGGCTGCGGGTTCGGTCGTTCATGTCCCTCTTCTTCAGCTTCCTCTTCATCTTCCTCCATCTCTTCGTCTTCCGTTACCGAAACACGATCCTCGGGCTCGCGCTCATCATCCGAACACTGGAACTGTTCATCGAACATATCCTGCATGACCTCCAACGCACCCATGAAGATACGCCCGGACCAAGTCTCCAACATATTAGCATGTCTAAGTTGGTCCTCCACACGCCGAGCAACCTCAAGCTCCAACCATGCAGATTCAGCCGCAGCGTGCATCTCACATATCATAACCCATTGAAGCCCCGCCTGGATCCGCGATGCGCATACACGTTTTGGTATCCCGATATAGCACTCCGCACCAGTTCCATGGAGTCTGAGTTGCTCGTCGAAAAGGTTGTCCGTGATCGTCAATAGCTCGGTATAGCGCTTGGTGTCAAAAGACGCATCACGGTCGTAATACGTCTCCTTATCTTTGCGCGCAAGCGCTTCCGTTGCTGGGGGTAGCAAGTTCAATTCGAAGAGCTCTTGTCGACAGCTTGGGCACTTGTTGCGGTTGTCGGTGTAGCCTTCCGTCATGTCTCGTAGACATTGGAGGTGCAGTGTATGTTGACAGGGGAGTTGAGCGAGGCGGGTACTCGGTTCTTGGGGGTCTACCTGCAGGAGCTCCAGACATATCGCGCAGTTCGAGTCGCGGATGGTCCCGAAGTCTCGGGCTTGTTGATGAATTCGCTCGCCGAGGAAGTGCTCGAGGCTGGGGAGGTTGTTGGACGCCATATCAGCGCAGGGTTTGCGAGCTGGTTGAGTGTGGTGTGCGAGTGTGTTTTTAGTGTGGACTGCAGCGGTGGGTGATTCCGCTTCTCGTGCTTTATATATAGCCATGTGACTGCCTTCATAGTGAATGGCTATAGGTAGCAGTACATGTGGGGTATATAGTCGTGGCGATGCGCGAAGTGAAATACCCTACCCGCAACATGTACTGAGCATCACTTTCCCTGTGGGAAAGATCCGATGAACCCCAAGGAGTCTGTATATGAGCTTCCACTCGTTTGCCCCCAACTGTCAAGCAAGCAACACCCCTAACTCAACTCAACCATGTCGATGCAAACTTCCGCTTCAGTTCCTGACCAGCAAGATGGTGTCATGCCAGACTTGCCCGCAATGGGGCAATTCATAGCTACCATGGATGGGTCCGTTCAGTACTCCGAGCAGCTTCCCGACTCTTGCAGTATATGCTGGGAAGACTTCAACTGGGACAATGGCGTTGCAGTGCGCCTTCCATGCGGCCACATCTTCCACAATGAATGTTGTCTCCACTGGATGAAATCAGCCAGTGAGAACCGCAACGCCTGTCCCATGTGCCGGACGGTCTTCTGTCTCTTTAATGCTCTGACACCCGAACAAATACGCGATAACGAAGAAGAGCACAACGAGGCTGTATACAACCGCGAGGCTTACTACTGGCTTATGCGTTACGCTGACTCATGGTACGATGCAGAAATCCGGGATGATCACCCGGATTTAGTGTACATTGTATGCGAAGTGAGGAGGCATTGGCATCGTGAACATCATCCCCAAGCGCACGAGTTTATATGCGACTGGCATGAAGAGATCGGGGACAACTGGCTTGAGCTTATCGTAGCGAATCATATCCGGAACAGGCTCAGCGAGGATGGTCTTGCTGGCTCTAGGGAAAGCCAAGAGCTTGAGACGAGACGCAGTGGGCTAGTGAACTGTGTGAACTGGATGATTAGGGGTTCCAACTTCATTGGCGAAGTCTGGGTCCCGCAGAATATGCAAGAATTCGAAGCGAGGGCCGCGGAGAATGCAGGGGGCAATGAGGATCACCAGCAAGAGCAACACGACGACGACCGTCAGGCTGACGAGGATTCAGAGGACTACGAGAGGTGGGCATCTGCTCATGCCCACGAGCACGAAGAAGGTTCAGAGGATGGCGAAATCCTCGAGGACGCAACCAGTCAAGACCCCTCTGAACTTCCCCATCCTGAAGGCTTCGAACTTTCCGATCCCGAACCAAGTCCAATGAACAGCGGTACAATTGAGCAAGCTATCATAGCACGCAACGATGCTATCCATCAACGTTTCCGGGAAGAACTAAACGCAGAGATCGTCGTAGGAGCCTTGCACGAATTACACGATTTCAGGAGCGCTGAAATACTACCCTATGGAGAAGTACAGCGCCGTCATTCGCGCTCCCAATCTCCATCCCCATCTTCACCATCTCCACCCTCAACATCTCCATCAACAGACTCTCTCTTTCCTCTCCCCCCGGCCACAGAACTAGCCGACCTACCTCCCGCCCATCCCACAGTCTCGCAACAAGACGTGGCCGACACGCGCTCCTGGCTCAGGTCAGAGGGCCACACCATCCTTTGCGAGATGCACAACGTAGCCTCGGTTGTGTATCAAGACGATGGTACTTATGACGTGCATGGTTTTGAAGGAGATTTTTTGGGAGTTGTGAGGGATGCGGATGCGTATCATGTCGTGGGGTGGATTGCGATTTTCTATCGTTATGGAGAGAACGGTGGAGATGTTGGTGGCTCCAGGGGACGGGTGATGCGTCCTGTATAGTAAACTTCCAGTGTACGATATCGGGGCGGTTTCAAATGAGAGATTCGGCGAACGTTACTACTTTCGTGTAGAAATGTATCCAGAGTTTTCTTTGCTCGAAAGTGACGTGGGAGCTTGTAACTGAGTATGTCTGACGTTGCTGTCTTCCAGTGTCGTCCAATTGGTGAAAGAATACGCCAGCCGTGGGTATGCCCCTCCTAAAGCGTGACCGACTTGTGATATCCCCAAACGCCAACGCTATGCATAACAAAATTGCGTGAAAGATGGACCTTCTGTGATATCTCACAGGAGCTCAACTACGCCTTGTCCTCGCCCTCATCATCACTACTTTCCCTCTCTTCCCATCCCACCATCCGTCTCAACACGCGATTCTCTTCTCCCAACTCTTTACATCTGCCCCTCAATCCTTGTTCGACTTCGCTCTGGCATCTTAATGCGCTCCTTGCGTTCTCCGCGACGCGACTCAGCCCAGCCTGCCAGTCTGCGTGTTCAAGCCGCAGCGCCATAGATGTCGAGCGTTCTTGGTCAAGAAGCCCCTGGTAGTGTTTGTGCAGAGCAAGCATGGCGGAGGTTTGCGAATAGGCGTACGGACGAAGTTTATCGAGGAGAAGGGTCAAAGCGGATTCGTAGTCGGTGAGGAGGGCGGAGAGCGATGTATTGGTTGAGGTTAGGGATGCGATGGTTGTTTGCGCGCTCGAGAGCTGTGATTGTAGATGTGCTACTGTCGCTGCTGTAATGTGTGTTAGTATGTGTTCATCCGAGTCCAGACGGGTGATGTCGCCGTCCAAACTCTCTCAATACAGACTCCACATACCATTGATCTCTCCATTAACCTCCCTCATGCCCATTCCACTCGCAATTCTCGGATTGAGCCCACCGACCTCGCCTCCCTCTTCTTGTGCAGCCCTCCCTTGTATCGCAGCGACACCCTCCACGATACCCCTCGTTTGCGCCTTGTTCTCTTCTAGCAATTGACTCAGCTGCTGCACCACCGCCCACAGATGGTTCATGTCCGTCTGCTGGCCGCCGCTGGGTAGGCCATTAACCATTGGAACGCCGTTTTGGCCGCCGCCGTTAACTTGCGATCCTGCAATACTGCCGGCTTGTGAATGTGAGGGAGAGGGCGGGGGGCGATTTTGATTGTGCTGTTGCTGGGCTTGTTGTTGTTGGGAGGACTCGAGGAAAGAGAAGTTGTTCATGGCGACAATAGTGTGGGTGGGTGGTGGAGATTAGGTAGCTGCGGATATTGGTGGAGTTGGCGTGCGGCGCGGGCTTGATGGCTTCGGTAGTCGGGCTTGTGATTGGATTGGAAGTCTGATGGTGGGATCGTAGGCGCCTACCAAGATCTTCTCAGTGACGCGACACTAGATCGGGGTATAGAATGCTTTTCTGCGTCTTGTGCGGGGTCAGGTTGGTTCGCGTTGCGGAGTCTTGAGGCTTGTTGGCGATGCGCTCTGGGACGTGTCCAGATGGCGCTTGCTTGCTTTGGTGCTAGCGGCTTGGCCACACTCCCGAGGTCTATGGCTTGACTGGACAGCGAACCATTGCAGATGGGTATGACTTTTTAGTGATAAGGTATCGATAGTACTAGGTAAAGAAAGCGTGACTAAAGTATGCGAGGGTAAAAAGCAAAAATACACCACAAGAGGTATCCTCTCCCAATGGTATCCAACACTCCACAACGAGACTCGATGCGAGCCTACTATGACCGAAAGTCCATCCCTCCTTGGGGAGCCGAAGTGCTACTCGCTCATCTATCAGGCAGCACATACCTCCTTTCTACACTCATCTCGCGATCTGCCTCATCTTCACCTTCAAACCTCAACCTAACGAGATTGTCCACGCCATCTCCTTCTTTGCCACCATCTTCTTTCTTGACCTTACCATCACTCTGCTTCCAGACAGCCACCACTTCCGCTTTGTAGAAAGTAGTGGTACCTGGGTAGAGAGCAAGCACGTTCTTTCCTTTGCTTAGGTCTGGTAATGTGGTGTTTGATGAGGGTGGTGGGATGGGTATGAGGTGATTGACGGAAGCACGGTATGGAACTGATGGTGTCGGTGGGTCCGGATCAGCATCAATGATTTCGTACCGACGTTGCTTTCCTTCGCCGATTACGGATGTCACGCGGCATAAGATGCCCTCGCCCTCGAACGACATGGAGGACGCCGAAGAGCGATTCTTCGCGTTGTTTCGGTAGAGGACCTCGGTCTGTGGCGAAAGACGTGGTCGGATTTCTATAATAATATCGTCAGTTGACGTGGTGTCTGAAGGGACTTGGGATGATGTGTAAAAAGGGCGCTGTGATAGAAGAGATGGTACATGGTGGCATGAGCACATAAAAAGAAGTATGAGATCAGATGAGGTGAGATTATGAGCTTGCCTATCCGACTACAAACCTCGAACAAGCCGAAAGGAAAAATGCCAGTGGGTATCGTCTGCCGTCTAAGGTGAACGCCGATAGCAAAGTACAGCTCAACGCTTGGTCTTGTACTTGATTGTGGGCTTGGTTTTGGAAGGAGGAAGAACCATCTTACCCTTACCCGAGTCGTCTTCGTCCATCTTCACACTGCCCTCTCTCGCAACAGGTACCGATCCTGCTCTGCTACTGCCCGACTTGGCTACCAGTCGATCTTTCTGACTGCTGATAACGACCTTCGGACTGGGACCTCCAGGACTGTCCGCAGCCATGCTGTCGCGGTCGTCGATGTTGTCGTTATGCTTTCGCTTGCCTTGGCGGTCGCGTCCAGACTTTCCGTGCCCAACGCTGGTGGCTCGTGATGCTGAGGGCGGGGCCTCTTCCGACTGACGGAGGGCAGCCAGGAGTTCTATCTGAGTGGAGACATCGTTGCCGCCTTCGACCTGCTGGAGAAGGGTCTGTGCCTCGTTTAGATTACGTATGTTTTCGCGCAGGAGGTCTTCAAGCTCGTCATCAATACGGGCTGAGGTTTCCTCGCCGCGGTCTAGCCGGGTTAGCACAGTGGGACGAATGTGTAGTAGTCAGTTGGGCAACGAACGCTGACGAGCAGACTGTTCTGCGACGAGGGCGGTGATTTTCTCTTGCAAGGCATCCGACTCTTTCTGCGGCATGTCAGCAAGGAAGCGGATTTATGTGTAGATGATTTATGTAATGCATGCGACAAGGCACGGTCTGTGTAATACCATGCATTTGTCGGCGCGTCTGGCATCTGTCTTGATCTGTTTCCAGAGATCCCGCTCCTCCTCTGGATCTCTTCCATATTTATTTCGGTTATGGCCCACGTAGCCGTCAGAATCGCGAAGACTACGCGGTATTTCGCTCATGGTGAGGAATGCTGGCGATAGATATGGAGATGCAGATTGTAATGCTGGTGTTAATGAAGAAAGTATATTCGTACCATGAGTTGATCAACGCGACGTCCGTCAGCTTTGATCGAGTTCCAGAGGGCTCTTTCCTCGTCGAACTCCTCCTTCAACTGACCACGGGGCCTGCTGCGGGCTGCCATGTTGAGGAAGTTGTGGCCCGTCAACTCCCCAGCTCTTTTCGTGTTACCTAAGGCGCTGCAGATAGTTCATGTGGTGGTGTGGAAGCGACAGACTGAGGTGGAGGAAGGGAAGTAGCTGCAGATGATCAACGTCGGGGCATGTAGTCGGCGGGATGCAGGGTAGGGTACGCTAGTCATGGGAGAGGGGATGAGCCTAAACCAACGGCAGGGTGACGATTGTGCGGGACCAAACAAGTGGACCCCGCCCAGAGCTCCTCCGCCAATTCGCGGCATCGCAATACATACGCAACCTCCACACTCGACCGAACCATATTCAAGATGCGGAACCCTCTTATCAGACTGGAATGCGGTAGGACTAGATAGTGAAATTGGTTTGAGCCAACATTGACTAACTATTTTCAGGTGTGAACAGCTACGACTGGGGTGCGTGCCCCGCGTCATCACTCACCTTCGCCCCAGCAGTATGCTGAACCAACGCAGGCAAAGTCGGCAAAGAGTCTGCAGCCGCCAAGTTCCACGCTGCAAACGCTTCAGACTTCTCGATTGAAGAGGAGAAGCCATATGCCGAGGTATGAAATTCCGGCCTGCGATTGACGCGTCGTTGACACGGTTAGCTATGGATGGGCACACACCCGTCGCTCCCTTCCAAAGACAAGGAAACCCAGCGAACGCTTCTCGACCTCTTCGAAGAAAACCAAGCCCTGTTATCAACAGAGATTGCCGAGCGCTATGAGAACAAGCTTCCCTTCCTGTTCAAGGTCCTCTCCATCAACAAGGCCCTGAGCATCCAGGCACACCCGAACAAGAAGCTTGCCGAACAGTTGCATGCAAGCGACCCCAAGAACTACCCAGGTCAGCATAATTACGGAAATTTCCAACATAAGTACTGACCTTACTAGATGACAACCACAAGCCCGAAATGACCATTGCGGTCACTCCCTTCGACGGCCTCTGCGGCTTCCGACCCCTCGCCGAAATCGCACACTTCCTGAAGACCGTCCCTTCATTGCGCAAGCTCGTCGGCGAAGAAGAGGCGAAGAAGTTTGAAGACACCATCAGTGGCAAGGAGACATCGGACAAGGAAGAGGATATGCAGGAGAACAAAAAGGCTCTGCAGTCTGCCTTTACAAAGCTCATGAACACGGACAAGGACGCGCTATCATCTGCCAGCGAAGAGCTTGTCAAGGCAGCGGAGTCTGAGGGCGACAAGTTCGCGGACGGCGGCCCACCCTCCAACGACGGGAAAGAACTCGCAGACCTTGTCGTACGCCTCAACTCTCAATTCCCCGGTGACATTGGCCTCTTCGTCCAGTTCTTCCTCAACTACGTTAAGCTCGACATCGGCGAAGCCATGTTCCTCAAGGCTGATGACATTCACGCCTACCTCTCCGGCGACATCATCGAGTGCATGGCGAGCTCTGACAACGTTGTCCGCGCAGGCTTCACACCCAAGTTCAAGGACGTGGACAACCTGACGAAAATGTTAACCTACAGCTATGCGCCGATCAGCGAGCAAAAGATGGAGCCTAGAGACTACTCACAGGTCAGACTGAACGCACCAGCGTATAGCTCCAACAGCAGCAACAAGCTGTACAACCCACCGATCCCCGAATTCGCCGTAGTAAGGACTGCGCTTAACCGGGTAGGTGGAAAGGCGACATTTGATCCGATCGATGGACCAAGCATCATCCTGTGCACCAAGGGCAAGGGAACGATTAGCGTGGGACCAAAGGAGGAGGAGATCAAGGAGGGCTACGTCTACTTCGTTGGTGCCACTGCTGAGGTCGTCATCAAGAGCGATGTTGATGCCGAGGACGAGGAGGGCGCAGAGGGCTTGGTAACATTCAAGGCATTCTGCGAGCTCGAAGACGGCAAAGGCAAGCTATGAGACATGAGATATGAACAAAAGGGTACGACAACGACTTGATGATATGACGACAAGAGAAACGTCTTCTTGCTATATTGTATTTGGCTACATAATACATCTATCATCTATGAGTGGTATCACAATGCTATGAGTCGCTAAGTCTAGAACAACAAGGGGAGTGAAGTGTCGCCTTACTCCGGCAAACTCCTCATGACACCCTCAAACGCTACCAATGCCATGGCATTCGCCGGGAACGCCCTGAGGAAGCATGGCACGAAACCCCGCCAGTACCCTTTCCAACCTTGCTCCCTGTACACCGCTTTCGCGGCATCTCTCCACCTCGGAAACTTTCTTTGTGCCAGCGGATCCGTCATGATACGCTGCTTAATCACATCGCTCGGATAGCTCGTCAACCAAAAAACCTGCGCCGACAAACCCCCCGCCCAGAAATTGACAGCGGGAGCAGACAGCGAAGTCCGCTGTTGCAGCTGCCGTGTAAAAAGGTCATAGGTTCCCCACCAGAAGCAGAAGAATGTGCGGAAGAGCAGTGTAGCGCTGAGACCATGGTACACACCCCTCATTCCATGACCAGTGTATATCTTCTTGAGGCAGTCGATTGGTCCGGAGTAAAGACGTGACTTCTTATCCGCGGCGTACTGGACTTGCAGACGTGCTTTGATGTGTTCCACCGGCGCGGCGATGAAGGATACGGTCCATCCTGCCATTGTGCCTGCTAACGCGTGGCCGTATACGGGTAGTTTACGCTGCTGTTCGCCGAATTGGAGGTGTGAGGGGGGGTTGAAGACACGGTCGTTGAGGACGCGGCGGTAGACGCTTAGGGAGCCTAGCATACTTTGTGGTGTTAGTATGGTGAGTTGTTTGGGGGGTATGTGTCTGCGTACATCGAGTCCATGAACATCCATCCTACAAGCGGTGGTGTAGCGCCCTTGTACAACCCCGCGAAGCCTTCTTTGCGGAGTGTTTGCATCAGACAATCTACCGGGCCACGGAAATGGCTTTTCTCGGTCGTTTGGAGGCGGACTTTCACCGTGTCGAAGGGGTGACCGACTATCTCTGTTAGCCATGTTCAATGCATGTGCTGGGGAGAATGTTTATTTACCAGACAACTTCGCAATGCCGCTGAACACCCCAGCGACAAAGCCGCGGTAGTGCTTGGGAGACTTCTTCGGCTCATCAGAGGTAGCTATCAGCGCGGTGGCCGCTGGCTGTGAGTCGCTAGTCTTCGTCTTCAGGTTCAGGGCTGAGGTAGCCATTGTCGCGTCGCTGTTCTCCGGTACAATATCGGAATCATGCCTCGCGTCCAAGAAAAAGCACAAAAGGCATCCAACACGTCAAAAAGATCACGAAGAAGCGAAGGTAGGGAGAAGCAGGGCCGTCGAACAATTCAAACCATTATTCTCGGTGGAATTGTCAGCAGCGGTCAGTAGGCAACTTGCAGGTTCCGCATATCGGAAACGTACAAGCGCCCGCGATGTGGTGACGATGTCGACAGGGCCGAGAGATCGGTGTTCGGACCCCCGAAAGTCGCGTTTTAGTGCCTTCCAAGGTTGTCTCTCCAGGGCTGGACCCTTGAGATTGGCTTGCCAGATTGGTACGATGGTTCCTTCATAGATTAGCGGCTGCCCCTCCATATGCACTTGCGATCGTGTGCGACCGAGGATGGCGCGGTTTGATCTTTCTGTTGCTAATCGACTGTTGTCGCTCTCACTAACTTTTTAATAACTTTGTTGGCGCGCGCGCATTCGATACACGTGTTCTAGGTAACCATGTCGGCGACTACGAGTGCGACTACAGCGCCCGCTGCGGGTGTAGAGTCGAAGAAAGGTATGTTGGATGTTTGGCGGGGCGCGTTTGGAAGAGCTATACTGACATCGGCGCAGTATGGACGACCCTCATCACCAACACGGCATACCTCACCGGTCTCCTTACCCTCGACTACTCGCTCAAGAAGCACGGCACAAAGTACCCGCTCATCGCTTTGTACACGGATACCTTCCCCGAAGAAGGCCACAAGGCGCTCGATGAGCGCGGCATACCGAAACAGCATGTCAAGTACCTGCTGCCAATCAAGTCCAAGGACTTCACCGCAGACCCGCGCTTCTACGACTGCTGGAGCAAGCTTACGCCGTTCTCGCTCGAGGAGTATGAGAGGGTGGTACAGCTAGACAGTGACATGTTGGTCTTGCAGAACATGGACGAGCTCATGGACTTGCAGCTGGACGCACCGAGTACAGGCGGAAAGGGCGATAGAGTGTTTGCAGCGAGCCACGCATGCGTGTGCAATCCGCTCAAGAAGCCGCACTACCCCAAGGACTGGTATGTCTCTTTCCCTTCATATGCATATGATATGTAGACTAACACAACTCTAGGATACCAGAGAACTGCGCCTTCACAACCCAACACGCCGACCCCACCACCGCCCAGCACACAGGCGCCCCCTCAACTGCCGGCCTCCGCATGCCCAACGGCGGCCTCCAAGTCGTAAACCCCTCGCTCGCAACCTACAACCTGATCCTCGAGCAGCTCTCCAACGAGGCATCCGGCGACTACGACTTCGCTGACCAATCGCTGCTGGGCGATCTGTTCAACGGTCGCTGGGTTACGCTGCCGTATACCTACAATGCGCTCAAGACGCTGAGGAATAAGGGCGTGCATGATGTGATCTGGAGGGATGAGAATGTCAAGAATATTCATTATATTCTTAGTCCGAAGCCCTGGGAGGAGGACGATGGGAAGTCAATGTGGGAGACGCATCAGTGGTGGTGGGATGTTAATAACGAGAGGAGGAAGGAGGAGAAGAGCCGGGGGATTGATGATGGATTCTAAGCTCTCACGATGTAGTGGGGTCGTTGCATAGTGGTCGGCGTAGAGGTGTAGAGTAGTACGAGAAACTTGGGCGAGCATCTTACGAGAAGCCCTGGAGGCGTTGCATAGTGGTGGGGTAGGGAGAATAATGCCCTGCATAAAAAGTATTTGGCAGCCATGGAGGAAGAATACATTCCATCCAATGAAGACTACGTTCCGATTATTGAACAGCTCACGTATGGCTCACGAACACCTTCCTTTTCGGTAGCACGGCTTTGTATCACGTGTCTAAAGTAAGCCTTAGGCTTTAGTATTTCTTAACTATAGAAACTTAGAAAAATCTTAACTTAATAACTAAAGTATACTATTATAGTTATATACTACTAATACTTAAAAAAAATAGAATTATAAAATCTTTATACTTATATATTAATTTTTTTATACTTATTTCTATTTACATACTTTAAGATAGTAACTACTTTTATCTTTTAATAAGTAGGCTTAATATTATAAGTATACTTTAGTTACTTAATATATACTACTTATTTTATTAATAACTTTTATATTAAGTAGTAGAAGTTTACTAACTTTACTATACTTTTTAAAGCTACTTATAATTACTTTAAAAAAGTAAATTTATAAGTAAATTTTTACTTTATAGTAGTAGCTAATTTTATTTATAGTAATATAAGCTTTAGTACTAATATTAAATTTTTTACTTAAAGTAAATATAACGCTCTTAAATAACTTTATAAGAAAGTTTTTACTTAAACTACTACTACTAGTAATAATAACTTTTTTATTAATATTAAAAGCTAAAGTTAGAAAAAGTTTAAAAATTAAGTAAAATATATTTTAGTTAAAGTTTAAGAGTAAAATAATAAAAAAGATTAAATTAGTAAACTAGTAATTAATAAGCTTATAGGCATGCACTATAACGTCTTCTACAGCGTAACATTAGGCACAGCTTTGTACACGATGTTTTTTAAGTTTCCTTTAGGCTTGGCGCTAGGGTTCCTCCCCGATTCAGTAATCCCTCAAGCTCGGTAGTTATGCTTCTTTCAACACATGGTCCGCACGGTGTACCACGTCATGGTGGACGGTACTAACCCTGCATGGCCAGTGTACAGGCCTTGTGAAGAACTATTCGTAACGCGGACCAACATTTGACTATAGCAGTCAGGCTCGGGCAGTTGGAGGGACGATTCGAGCAACCAGTCGCAGAAAACTTCTTGCATCGGCTTATTTCGCCCGAGATAACAGGCCTCGACGATATTTGAGCCGGCTATAGCAGAGACTAAATCCCGAAGGAGGGCTAGCCAAACGGGAAGATCGGAATACGTCACGGTAACGCCGTGTGTACAGGCAAGATGCAGTGAGTGAACTGCTGCCAGTTCCCACGCGAACGGCGCAGACCCCACGGCTTCATCAATCTCAGGAGTAGCGCCGCGTACCTGCGTTTGCCGGCATTCGGTGAATCGAACGGCGGCGGCAAAGTCACACGGCAGGAGAGGCTGCTGGAAACTATATGGCTAGCTGCAGCTATCGTGCAGCCAACGCGCATGCAGATGCAGCGAGTAACGCATGCGGAGACCCTTTGCTTCATCTTAGCCAAGATTCGCAATCAAAGGGCGTCGTCGAGCTGTGAGCCCCTTTTCGCCGACTGAGGCAAAAGCAGGAGAGGCGGTGATGGAGGTGTGTGGTTGGCGTGTAGGATGAACCCGTCACGATCAAGCCGTTGGGCGGAGCACAGACGTTTGGCAGCTGCGATCTGCAACGCGCCTGCTGCGGTTTCACTCCTGAGCAGCGTGAAACCTCATTTCATGAACAGCGCCAGCGCCCACGCGAGACCCTGTCCCGAGTCGCTACACATTTGCATCTCCTGTGCCGTCTACATCTTGACGTCTCCTCCCACACACGACCACCATTGAATCTCACCCTCACGCCTTATCACGCCCGACAGCCTGCCGTCTACCGTCCTCCGTCGCGCGCACTAGTTATAGCTCGCTTTCGCCGATATACCGCCCACTCGACACCACCACCCAGTCCATAACGCGTAAATCAGCACCATGGGGGGTTCAATATCCAAGATGATGGCCAAGGTCTTCGGCTCCAAGGAGATGCGCCTGCTGATGCTGGGCCTCGACGCCGCCGGGAAGACCAGTACGCACCACCATCACACCACATACACTGTCGCTAACTCCCCCAGCCATCCTCTACAAGCTCAAGCTCGACCAGGACGTCACCACGATCCCGACCGTCGGCTTCAACGTCGAGACCGTCACATACAAGAACACCAAATTCAACGTCTGGGACGTCGGCGGCCAGGACAAGATCCGTCCGCTCTGGAGACACTACTTCTCTGGTATGTTGGGCCGCGGAGGCACGGTTCCGGGTAGGCGAGTCGACATGCACGCGACTGCATGCGCATGGCTCCTACCTTGCCCGGCCTCCTATGATATCCATCAATTGAACGACGTGGCTAATCGCAATCGCAGGCACCCAAGGTCTCATCTTCGTCATCGACTCCAACGACCGCACCCGCATCGACGAGGCCAAGCAGGAACTCACAAGGATCATCCAGGACCGAGAAATGAAGGATGCGCTGTTGCTGGTGTTTGCGAACAAGCAGGATCTCAGCGGAGGTGCGTACATGCCAGAAGTTGTATGTGAGGGATATTGGCTGACATGACATAGCTATGCGACCAAAGGAAGTCTCGGACCGTCTGCAATTAGACAAGATCGCCAAAGACCACGTATGGAAGGTGGAGCCCAGCTGCGCGACAACAGGAGAGGGTATCTTTGAAGGATTGGTACGTTTCGATCTCCCCAGCATAAACTATTTGCGCCTTCATCAACTAACACCTCCACAGGCCTGGCTCTCCAACAACGTCAAGCTACCACCCGGCGCCAAATAAACGTCTTCCTACCCACCGCGATCCGCGCATCCCCGTCCCTCTCTCACACACTGTCCGCGATACCTGAACGACTTGCATGCTCTTCCCTGCATATACCCGGTTTTGTCCTCTTTACTTAATGTCGCACTTACTCTTATCGTCTTGTAATCTTCTTAATTGGGACTTGTACATTAGATATGTACAAATCTTGTTTTTTTGTCTTGTGTGTAGATCCTTTTCCTGTTGTGGTCCGAAGATGGGTGCCTGGCTGGGCTGACTGGTTGGTTGGCTAGTTGGGCTGTCTATAAGTAAGCGATACTGATATTACCTCCGTGTGTGTGTTTTTTGAGGTCGTGGTGGTGTGGGTGGTGATGTGGATTCTTTGACGTCTAATATCTAGGTTGGCCGCGACTACCTCCTCGGACGCCACTTCCGAATCCGTCCTTGCGACTTCCTTTCCCAGCCCTCATCAACTATGGATCTTTCAACCCCACTACTTCTCCTCCTCTGACATACGCCTTTAGCATTTCCACGTTACGATCACAGCTCACTCGAGTTCCTTCACGATCACCGGCGCTTGCTGCACTCAACGGAATGTGTGCGCGTTGGAGCACACTACACAAGCAACCCTTAATGCACTGCTCGTATGGAGGTGAGTTGCGCTCTCAACAAGCCGAACCTTCGTCACTGAGCAAGAGCTAATTGTAAGATTTGGATACATGGCACTAAGCTTGCGCATTAGTGTTGTCTAACCTGCGTTCATTCTGAAGTCGCTTCACTAACGTCTAACATTGAATTAGCAGGTTTGAGACACAACAAGACTTCGTAGATCGGGTGGGGGCGCTCTTTGTTGTTCGAAAACTGCCACCCAAACATGATTGTGCTGGCTTGTCTCACGACGGCAGCAAGCAATGAGACATACACAAAGATGGGTATATGAAGATGCTGGAGAACGGCGTTAGAATCGGCAGCAGCTGTCTGACTCTTCGAGACAAGACAGTATCAGTCTCTAGGCTACGTAGCACACACACTTCCTTATCTTCCAACCAACCTTGGAAACTCACATTTCACTCTCGCATCAACACGAACGACAAGTTATCTCAGCATGGCCGGTAAGAAGAAAGGCAAAGTCGCGGATCAAGCGCTCAGCGCCAAAGAGATACAGAAGATCAAGAACAGCATGGCGGAGTTCGTCAAAGACCCGTCTTCGAAGACCAAGCACTGGGCCACACTAGCTGAACCCAAGAAACCAGCTGCTAATAAACTCTACGAGGAGTTGATCCGTAGCGACGACTATCCCGGTGACCCTAATGATTCCACTAGAGCGGCGTCTGCTGGAGCGAGCGGACCAGCTGCTACGACCGGAAATCCCAATGCCTCTCTACCTGTCTCTGGTACTAATGTAGCAGCCGCCCCTCAGGGTCCCATCATACCTACTGGCGATGAGAGTAACACTTTCGAAACCGAAGATTCCGATGGAGAAACTGCATCGGATAGAGCGAATGCTCAAAGCCTCGTTATTAATGTCAGCACTGATCGCGGGATGCCTGATCCTAGCGCAGCTCTATCAGGGAAGACTGAAGGTGTAGACTGGACTGTCGACGAATGGGAGCTGGGTCTTAACTTCCAAAAACTCATCGAGAGCGATAAGGAAACTCCATTCCCCATTCGATCAGATTTTCAGCAGGCCGGACCGAACGTATTCACAAACCGCTTCCGTGTCGACATTAAGCCCAAAGTAGTCCTCCATGAGTTCGAGATCGTCGGTATGCCTTCCGGAGTATCGCGTAGAATGAAGAAGTTCTACGTTGATACAGCAATCGACAAGTCAACCATACTCCAGAACAACAAGGACTACTTCGCAACGGATTACAACAAAACCATCGTTACTTGGAAGGACCTTCAGACAGAGCTCAACGAAGGAACCAAGTGGAGTAAGAAACACAGCGGATGGCACCTTGTCGATATCAAAGATGGTGAATACCATATGCTGTCGCTCTACCTCAAGCACATACGCGTCGTGGACACCGGAACGCTAGAGCGATACGTCAAATCGGATACAGGCGATGATGGCTGGAACCCCCTTACTTGGAATCAACAAGCAGACGACAACAGTCCCAACAA